GAGCCCACCCAGCCACTGTTGGGATGGCTGGCACTTCCATACTGGTAGTATTGGGGTCAGCCCAGCCCCATCCTGCAGAGCCAGGGGGCTCAAGCCCTCAACCTCTTTAATCTTTTTCTAGTAGATTGCTAAAGGGGGGGGTTGAAAACTAGATCTAAAAATAACTCCTAAAACTTCCTGTGCTGCTGGCAGGTGGCTGGGACAGGCTGCGGGGGCGGGAGGCAGCTGTGGGGCTCGGCAGTGGTGCTTCAGTGGTTACCCCAGGGGTAACCCCAGCAGAAGGGTCCTGGGAGGTCCCAGCCCCCTGTCACCCAGCCTGGCTGCCTGCTGGGCTGCCTCGCCTCTACTTGTTACTCGGTGGCCGGTTTCAGCCAAATTTGGCAGAGATCAGAGGTGCTGGGACCTCCTGGGAGAACGCCAGGGAGGGGGTGGGGAAGCTGCAGGCTGGGCTGAGCCCTTATTAGACACTGGAGAATCCAGCGGCGCGCAGGCGGCTGGGGAGGCCAAGCTCTCCTCGCGCTGATCCAGCGTGGCCGGTCTCGCAGGTGATGGGTGTTTGCAGCTCCTCTGAGGCATGGAGAGGGGCTGGATCTGGCATTGCTTCCCACTGAGGCATCACTGGCCTGTGACAGGGACTTGGCCTGGGATGGTGTCTCTTCTGGCACCAGGGGTTTGTACATCACCCCCACCCAAATGATCCCTGTGGAGGTCTGTGATGAGCAGCAAAGCTGCCATCCCAGTTTTGACCCATAAAATATGAGGGGAAGGTCCCCTCCTGGGTTGGGGAATGGCCAGAGGCGACCAAAGAACAAAAATACCCTTGGTACCAGTGAGCTGGGGGTGCCAGGGGCTTCCCCATGGGAGCGTGGCTGCATTCTGGCAGCAGCAAACAGAATCCTGGAAAAACATCTGGAAAATAAATGAGGTTCAGGTGCCCTGAGAAACAAAGCCCAGATGAGCCCCTGGAGCATCAGGTGGGCAGCAGTAAGGGCGAGAGGTGGTGGCAGAGGAAGGAGCTGCCGAAGCAGAGGGTGACCTTTTTTCCATCCCATCTGGATGGAAACATCCAGGTGGGGACAACGGCAGCACAGCCACCTTGGATTTTGGGTGCCAGTGCTCGCAGACTTAGGAAGAGAGGTGATAACAGCCCGAGTCCTGGGGAAGGTGAGGGAAGCAGCTGAGCCTAACAGAGCACTGGGAGAGCTGATAATGGGCACATGCCACAGCCCCAGGGGAGTATGTGGGAGGTGCCATCATACCCCTTCCTCTGGTGAGACCGCGGCGAGTGAGGGGCAGCCGCCAGCAGAGACCACAAGGCGTGTTGGTCGCTGGTGTGTGCTGGGGCTGGAGCCTCCTCCGCCCACAGCAATGCTGAGGGTGAATTTAATCAAGAAAACGGAGGTTGGGCATCTGATTTCTCTCTCTTCTGTTTGGTTTTTTTCCTGAAGAGGAAAAAAACCAAACAACTTTGTTTGTGAGTCACTCTTGGCGGAGGGAGCAGGGCTGCACTCTGTGCGGCAGGCTGGCACATCCCACCTCACATGGACAATGCTGCGAGGAGGCACCCCCGGCCACTCTGACTCAGCCCACCCTCAGGCACAGGCCCTTTCCCTCACTGCCCACCTTGCTGCCCGTGTCTGTGCCCCACGGGCAGCGCCAGAGACACCGGGGACACCGGTGGGAAGTGCCATCACTTTGAAGTGGTCTCGGCTGGTCACCAAGAACCAGCCCATATCCACCCTGGGGACATATCCTGCCTGTCACTCCTTGGCAGAGCTGCTTCCTTGGTCATGGGGTTGTTCCAGCACCAGCATGCCCGGGTTATCTCTGAGATGCCACTGTCAGTGCCAGTCCTGACTGGGGAGCTCTCATGCCCTCGTGCCTGTGGCAGCTGCCAGATCCATCCAAGGGCTGGGAAGCAGGAGGCTGACCTGGAAGCAAGAGGCTGAGCTGGCTCGGCCACTGGTGGGACCTGCTGTGCCCCACTCCTACCCCGTCAGGGCAGCTGGCCCTGTGATGGAGCAGCAAGGAGAGCAGCCGGGCTGGGCCGGGGCTTTCCCAAAAAAGGCCTGAACTCTACAGTTGAGTTTGCCACTTCCCTTACCACTCCCTTTCCTGTGAGAGGATGTGTTCGGCCGCTTTTCTTTTCTCTTTCTCTCTTCTTTTCTCCCCCCCCTCCCTGCCCGCAGACCCGGCGCTCCTGGCGATGCCACACACCCCCTGAGCTGGCCGGGGTCACCCCGGCTGGCACCCGCCACCACCACGTGATGGCCAGGCTGCAGGTACGGACACGGCACAGCAGGTCCCCCCACACTGCCTGCCCTCCCAGCACAGGGTTGGGGGGTGCACAGGGGTCAGTGCAGGCTGTGCTGGGGGTGCCTCTGCACCTGGGTGGGCACTGGTTTGTGCCTCGCACTGCAGAGGTGGGGGTGGCTGGAGGAGGATGAAACACTGCTGAGGGCTTCATCCCTGGCCAGGGTGCTTGGGGAATGTGGGGTGGATGAAGAAGTATCATCCCCAAGGCCAGTATTTGCCATCACTTTGATGTGGCCTGCCTGGGCACCACGATGCCACGGCTCCCACTGCAGCTGGCACAGGGTGATTTTGGCGTATGCTTTGCCTGGGATGAGCAGGGCACAGGGCACTTCGTGTGTAAGTGCATGGGACAGAGGTGTCCCAGCACCTTGGCAAGGCCAGGTGGAAGGGGAGGTTTCCCTTTAATAGCGATTTTGGGGAGCGTTCGTCTTGTCTGATTGTGTGGTGGGGTCCCATCTGCATTTGGCGAGAGGACGGTGTGGTGCCAGACTCATGGGCATGTCCCAGGCACATGAGCTGGCACAGCCCAGGGAAACCAGGACTCCCAGGCTCATGGGGGAGCTCAGCGAGGGCGGCTTTTGGGGCGTCCCTTCTTCTCCCTGTGGGGAAACAGTCCCCTTCTTGTCATCCTTCCTCTTTTTGCAGCCTCGTGCGCATGCCCTCACCTTCCCTCCAGCATTCACAGGCTCCACCACCCGCCAGGACTTCCCTATCTGCTGGCCTCAGCAGCCCCACGATGGTGCCTGGCACTGGGGCAGCTGGTAACAACCCCCTGGCATACAGCCCTTGCCAGCATGGTGAGGTGGGGTGTGTTGGGACTGTCAAGGGGTGCACAGACAGTGCTGGGAAACCATTCCTGCAAATCCGGAGCATAATGCCAGTGCCCTTCAGTGCCACTCAGAATGTGCTGGCATTGCCCTTTGGTGCCAATCCAGATGTGCTGGTGTTGCCTTTCGGTGCCAACAAGGATCACACCAACATTGCCTCTCAGTGCCATGGGCCAGAGTTCCTTTGTAGCCCCACAGCTCCCTTCTCCCTGTTCCCTGTGGCACAGCCCACGCAGTCGAGATGGCCCTGGGTGTGTGCCACGGCGTCCGGGATGGACTTATCCTGCTCCTGGACGGGTGCTGAGTGCACCCTACAGCATGGGGAGGGGAGACTCCATATGGAGGAACGCCACCCCATCCTGCTGCCTCTCCAGGGTGTGTTGGCTCAGCCCCCTGCAGGTCAGCTCCAGCCAAGGAGTGAAGCGAAGAACCTGGGAGTCCCCCCAGAGCAAAGCCACAGCCTGTCCCTCAGTCACCCCCAGTCCACCCATTCCACACCCAAGGGTTGTGGCAGAGCCAGGGTGGGCTGGGAAGGAGCAGGGTTTCCCCAGCCTTCAGGGTTTCCTCCTGCTCTCCCCATTCCCACAGTCTCGACACCAGTTGCTGTCATTGGTGCCACAGCCCCCGGCAGTGCCAGCTGCCATGGGGTGAGCAGTGGGATGTGGGTGGGCAGCAGGAAGAGGGGTGCCAGGAGAACAAGATGGTCAGGCCAGGGGGAACAAAGGAAAGGGGAAAAGTGGGGAGTTAAATGGACCTGAGGGCAGCAGAGTGTGAGAGGGAGCAGAGTTGCTGCTGAACTGGGCGACAAGGTCACAGCCATCCTGCCCGCACTCAGGGCTATAAATAGGGACAGTTGGGAGTGAAACACAGACTCTCTCCTTTTTCGTTCCTGCAGGAGCACTGGGACAGCAGGAGGGTTTGCGAGGACCCGGGAGAGTGCTGCTGGGTGATGGCCATGCTGGGACAGCAGGGACTACACTGCCAGGGCTCAGTGGGTGTTCTGGGGACAGCTCTGTTCTGGGTCCCAGCTGGGACCCACACCCTGGCTCTGTTCCCTTGCTGAGTCCACAGCAGGACTCAGACCTGAGGTGATGAGACCTGGGACAGCTCAAAGTGGGGATGCTGAGGCTGAGATGTCCAGGGGCTCTGCCTGCCTGCTGCCACTGCTCCCATTCCTTCCTTCTGACGGGGGAAGGACTGTGATTGCTGCCCATCACCCTTGGCAGGGCACAGGGAGGCAGAGCCAGCTGTGTCTGTGTCCTCACCCCTGCCCACACAGAGGTGGGTGCTGAGCCCAGCACTCAGCATCGCTCCTACCCAGGAGCATCCCTGCTCCAGGCTGAGCCAGCGGTGCAGGCAGGGGTCATAGGATAAGGTTTGGTTTAGCACTGGGAGCTGTGAAAACTCCCCACCACCACCCCATTTCCTTCCACTCACATGATGCCGTGGAGCAGCTCCGACTTCCCCATCCCGTGCCTGAAGGCACCGGGGGGTCCAGCCACGCTTCCCCGCAGTGCAGGGTATGGCCAGGGATGTGCAAGGCCAGCACTGAGCTCCACACCCTGCCCAGCCCCTCTCCTGCCTGCAGCAAGCCCCACAGCATCCCTAAAGCATGGGAGGGGATCCCGGGCAGGGCAGGGGTCTCGCAAAGCATCTCCCGATGTGTTTCCTCTTCTACTTTCCTTCTCACTTCCTTTTCTGGTGCTTTGTCTGCTGCCCTGCCCTAGCTCGCCACCTTCCCAGGGCTTTCCTTGGCACGGAGCAGCCCCCTGAGCACTCGAAGCTGGGGGGTTCCACTGAAGTAACGTGGTTCCTCTCCCCACAGGCTCCATCCAGGAGGCGGCAGGGACATTAGCCGGGGGGTCTCAGCACGGCTCACCCACAGGCTGGGAGGAGCAGAGAGCGGCACAACAGCCCCTGGAGCACGACCCAACCCCGTCCACCGTGTATGAGGCTGGGACGCAGGTGAGGGGTGACTGACCCGGGGCCGGGGTGGCGAGCGGGAGCCAAAACTGAATCAAAGCAAGTCACTGCACAGGGGTGCCCCATGTACCTCTGTGTGCTTGCACGTGGTGGGGGCTGACTGTGGACAGCTCACTCACCTGCTCCCTGCCCTCCCGCCTTCCAGTACGCAGGACCCGCGTCCGCAGAGACACCCCTTCCGATGTCCCGACATGAGACTTCTCCGACAACGGTGCAACCCGCCAGCAACCACCGCCCCAACGCCTGCTGCTTCTGCTGGTGCTGCTGCTGCAGCTGCTCATGGTACGTCCCACTGCCCACCCCAGCCCAGGCTCCTGCGGGACAGTGAGCATCACCCACCCACCACGTCATCCTTAGTTCAAGGGTCCCATAGGCAGGGGTGATCACAGAACCACAGCAAGGCTTGGGTTGGAGGGGATCTTAAAGATCATCCAGTTCCAACTCTGTTCCATGAGCAGGGACACCTTCCACTGGACCAGGTTGTTCCAGTCCCTGTCCAACCTGGCCTTGAACATTTCCAGGGATGCAGGGGTTGCACCTGTGTTGCTGCTTCTCTGTGCTTTGTGCAGCAACAAGTGCTTGGACGTGGCTGCTCCCCAAGCAGGCGACCAGGTCTGAGGGAGATGGGGTCCCACAGCAGCCCCCACCACTGGGATTTCTGCAGTCCTGTGGTGCAACTGTAGTACCCACGCCACGGGCAGTGGGTGCAGGAGGGTAGCTGGGACAGAGCCATCCCCACTCGCTGAGTTGAGCCTCCAGACCACTTGTGTGCTCATTAGGTTGGGAGTCGAGAGCAGAACAGGCATGTGGTTAGACAGGTATAAACTCCAGGTGCCCTGATGCACATGGGTATCAGTGGAACCGTGGCGTGGGGCTCTCGCCGGCACAGAGCCCAGTGAGCCTGAGCTGAGCCTGAGTGCACCATGACTCCTGTCCATCAGCCAAATCTTTTAGAATACATAGAGCAGAAAGCAGCAGTGGGACCCCATGGTGCTGCACTGGTGGTCTCCAGGGAGGGATGGCCCTAGTCCATGTGAGCCCTCTGGAAAGCTCTACCTTGGAGCAGCAGGTGCAGCATCTGGCCCTGCCCTTCCAGCACTACCCAAAGCCAAGGATGTAACCAGCTGCTTGCCTCCAGCTGCATCTCCTGTCCTCACTGAGGATCCACAGCTCCTTATTCTCTGGATAGCCCAGATTTTGGAGAGCCCATCTGCTTTTCATCCTCAGCATCTGCTTGCTTAGAGATTGCTGATGGTTCTGGGCTTTGCAGCACTTTTGGGCTTTGTGGCCATTGAGAGCTGTGAGCAACAAACCCTGGAGCTGAGCACTGTGCATCTCCTTCCTGGACGCTGCCCTGGGCTCAGTGGCATTCGGCCATGGGCAGTGTCCCTTCCCTGTGTCTCTCATCCATCTCTGCAAGAGCCCGTGAGCAGAGGTGGGACAGAATCCCAGGGAGGTGGCAGATATCCCTCCTGTGTCCCATTTCCAGAGCAAGCAGTGCCGGGTGGCAGCCACACTGGGGCTCAGGCACAGCAGGCAGCGAGCCCTGGGGGTGGCACAGGCAGGGACATGCCTGCAGCTTCACCCACCCCAGCCACCCACGCTGGGGCAGAGGTTTGCACAGTCAGTCCTGTGCGAGCAGCGAGGGACGGTGTCGCAAGCAGGAAGGGCTGTGGTCAGCGCCGGGCGCCAAAATTCAAGGGCCCAAGGGAAGTTGGCTGATGGCCGCTCTCTGCTTGTGCCACCAGCCCCCTGGGGGTTAGGGGCATGGGGGACAGGGGACACTGGCATCCCCCAGCCCCAGCACCTCCATCCCACTATCTGCCTCCAGGCTGAACCGGTGCTGGGGTGTCACCAATAAACCCTTGTTTATTTATTGGTGTGACAGTTCACGACACCTTTGCCGTGGGCTGATCCAGCACTGACCTCTGCCGGCTGCTGCGGCCACTCCAGCTCGGCTCGGTCCTGGCACACATCCCTGGCACACAGCCCTGGCACATGGCCCGGGCGCTGGAGCGGGAGCGGGACCGCGGCAGTGCCGGAGCACAGGGACACCCTCTCATGGTGACAGCAAAACTGCACGAGGGTGGCACCGGGGCAGCGGGTGAGGGGAGGGGATGGGTGGGGGATGCTTGTGCCCACAGAGGACCCCACAGGGGTCAAGGTGGGGGTCTGTGAGTGTCCCCAATGCCCCTGACTACCTTTCTGTCTCCCCGTTAGGAACGAGGACCGGGAGCGAGCATGGAGGGCATCCCGGGAGACCAAACTGGAGCCCATCCCTAACTGTGAAGCATGGTGAGTGCAGGGGTAGTGCCGTGGGGGGGAGCAACATGGCATGGTACAGCATGGCACCATCCCTTCTGCCACCCTCCGTGGCACCCAACCCTGGGGTATGCATGAGGAGGAGGGGCAGGGGTTCCTGATGATGTGTCCCCAGTTCCCACCAAGAAACAGGGAGCCCGAAGCCACAGGCTGCAGCCTGCTGCAGTTCTGCCCTTGGGCCCCTTGCAAAGGAAAACTGAGGCACAGGAAAACCTCAGCAGGTTTCAGGTCTCATCCTGCCCTTTAGACCTGCTGCCAAGAGCATCTTGCAGCCATGGGGAGAGGAGGGGACAGGCCATTCCTGGTATGTTCAGCACTGAAGCGGAGGCAGCAGCAGTGTCTGTGTACTGTGGGACACAGTGGATTTACACTCAGGGAGGAGCAGGATGGGCCAGCCCCCCACTCCAGGAATGTTCAGCATGGAGTACCCACTCCCTGAGGGACAAGTGTGACTCCCTTTCACCCAGCCTAGCCATGGGTGCTCTGTGCAGTGCCTGGCACAGCCAGCTTAGGGTCAGACTTGGTAATTATCCATGGATAATGATTGCACCTGCCCTGCTTGAGCAGGTGATGAGTATTTGCTGGGGAGCAGCCTCCCTCCTTCCTCAGCTGAGAGGGCTGATGGGCCTATGTCAGTCCCTATTGGCTCAGAGCTGCCTCTCTGCTAAGGAAGGGCTTCTGCTACCTTTGGGATTTGTGCAAAGCCAGCACCACAATATGTCTCAGTTTGGGAAATCCAGCCAAAGGCAAGGCTACAGTCCAGCCCAGCAGAGCAGAGCCGGGAGAGACCCCAGGAGAGACCTCTGAAAGCTCTGTAACACCAGAGGCTGAGCAGGAATGGCCTCTGCATGAGCACGGGGATGTGTTTGGGCACAGTCCCTCGGGGATGGGGCCAGGGATGAGCAGGAGGGACACAGAGGGGAGCATGCAGCCCTCCCTGGCCGGCTGTAACGCTGTGTCCTTGCCTTCCCCTGGATCTGTCAGTGCCAAACCCACACCAGAGGAGGTGCAGGGCTGGGCACAGTCCTTCGACAAGCTGATGAAGAGCCCGGCGGGGCGCAACGTCTTCCGGGAGTTTTTGCGGACTGAGTACAGCGAGGAGAACATGCTCTTCTGGCTGGCCTGTGAGGAGCTCAAAACCGAGTGCAACAAGCACACCATCGACGAGAAGGCCAGGATGATCTACGAGGACTACATCTCCATCCTCTCTCCCAAGGAGGTATGAGGCAGAGCCCCTGAGGGGGTGGCTCGGGCTAAAATGAGGCTGGGGAGGATTCTTATGGAGAGGGCTCTGTCCCAGCTCTCACCACAGCCCTGTGACAGTTTGGGGGTGAGTTTGGCAGGGTAACAGCGGTAGGGAGAGGAGCCCTGGCCCCGCAAAATCCTCAGGACGCAGCCGGCCGTGGGATCACGGGCCAGGTTGTGCTGCGGGTCCGAGACCTCACGAGGGCACCATCGGGCCGAGGAGATGCTGCATCCCGGCCTGCGGCATCGCCGGAGTGGGAGCACCCAGGGCAGGAGCACCCACACCCGCCTCCTTGTGCCCAGCTGGGGGACACGGCAGGAGACCCAGAGAGCTCCCTGCTCCTCCCTGCAACCCTCCCTAAACCACCCTGGTTTGGTGCCAATATCATCCAGGATTGAGCACACCATGGTCTTCCCACATCTGGCCACAGTGCTGTATTGATACTCAATTTCCCATGAGAGCTGGTGCAGGGGTGGGTGCTGGGGCTGGGGGCTTGTCCTTGGGTTTCCTCCAGCCCCCAGTTTCTCTCCCTGCCGCCCAGGTGAGCCTGGACTCGCGGGTGCGGGAGGTCATCAACCGGAAGATGCAGGAGCCGTCCTCGCACACCTTCGACGACGCACAGCTCCAGATCTACACGCTGATGCACAGAGACTCCTACCCCCGCTTCCTGAACTCTGCCATATACAAATCGCTGCTCCAGAGCGTCTCCCACTCCTCCTCGGAGTCCTAAGGGCGCCCACCGGCCACGGGGACACTGATGGGGACAGAGTGGCTGGAGGGGCTTGGTGCCTCCTCACCTCCGCCACCTTCCCTGCTGGCCCCCACGAAGTTTTTAGCTTTTTACCTATGAACTGTCACCCCGGTGTCTGGGCCACGCTCCAGGACTGTCCCCGAGGCGCAGCCCGGGCCAGCTCATACTACTGAACCCTTGCCCCGTCCCCGCCGCTGGCCGGAGCGAGCTGGGGGAGCTCACGGGAGAGCGCCCGGGACCCGGTTTCCCCCACACCCTGTTTTGAAGAGGTCACTTTATCCCATCTCCACCACACCCGGGGACACGGCACATCCCCATTTCCCACCTGAGACCCAGCTGGGGACTGAGTTGGGGGTTTTTTTGAGGTGGGGGGGGAGGTCAATTGTTGTTTGGTTTGTTTTGTTTTTTTTTTTTACTTTTAATTTTAAATGCTCTTTTGGTTGGCTTTTACTGGGGAACTCGAGGGGCGGGAGGGGGGTTTGACAAGTGTCTCTGTACATATAAAAACTTGTCAGGTTTACATCACTCGGTCTGTTTTAGGTGGCCCAAGGGGTGGGGGGCAGTGCTGCAGCCTGTCTGTATTCCTGAGGTGTATGGATGGAGCAGAGGGCAGGGCTCTGAGGGGCCAGAAAAGACCATGGGGATATGCTCAGCAGGTGGGCAGGGGGTACCCTACAGCTGCCTCCCCCACCAGTCCCTGTCACAGATCAGCACTGCTCCAGCCCCAGGACATCACGTGCTGTCACCCCAAACCCAGAGCATCCTGCACCCTTGGTTCAGGGACCTCAGAAATGGGGAAAACACCTGTGCAGGTGTGGTTTGCCCTCCTGCAGAACTCACAGGCACCAGGAGCCCTGAATGGCTGGCCCACACCTGCCCCACCAGTGGGGAGAAGCCCAAGGATCTGCCCTGGTCCTTTGGAAGCTGCTTGTGACCTGGGCTCCACCCAGGATGTGAAATGTCACAGGGAAGATACAGAATATCCATGTGTTTTTGTACAGCCCAAGGAATGGTTTACTGGAGCCCCAGCATACAGGCTTAAAACATGTCTGTCCCTGCCTTCCACACTGAAATGAAGCCAATGCAGGGGTTTTGATGCTGGTCTTTGCTTTTCCTGACCCACCACAGCAGTTTCCTATTTTCCACCCATTCCCCTCCTTCTCTCTTTGGCCCTTCCACAGAAAAGAGTACTGGTTCTTTTTACTGAAGATATTTTTTAAACAAACAAATTCTTTTAGCTTATTTTTTTTTGTGGGGTGGTTGTTTTGTTGAGGCTTTTTTTTTTTTGTTTCCTTCCTTCCTCATGGCATGACTGTGTGGAAATTCATGTCAGTAAATTTAGGGTTTTTTGCCAAGCTGGAAATACAGTTCAAGAAAATGTATTTTTGAGAGAGACCAGCAATGGTTTGTTAGGAATGTCAGTATTGTTGTTATTATTGGCAGGTTTTCCCCCACCAGTGCCCAGTCTGCACCCCTACAGCATCCCCACCCTGCACAGGGGAGGCTTTAGTTCTGAGTGCCTGGTTTCTTCTATGAGTAAGGAAAATAGTCTCAAAATGTGGCCCCAGCTTAAGGGTCAAAGGCTGAACATCCCTGAAGCTGTTCAAGAGCATGGCAGGGAGGTCAGTCCCTCCACACACTGTGGTGGTCTTGGCCCAGGGAAGACCCTGCTGCCACCAGATAATCTAGTTTTTCTCTTGCTCCCAATCCCAGCACTATTAATCACCTTGTAAGCAAATCTTTACTTCTGAAACACCTCTTTATCCAGTGGCCTTGCCCTCCCTGGCCCTCCTCTGTGTTATCCCAGAAAATGACACTGTAAAATGACACAGGTACTTTTCCCTCACTTCTGCTTGGGACTCTCCATACCTATTTCAGGATTGTCAACCAGCTGTACCCAGACTCAACCCAGCTCCTCACAGGAACACGAGAAGAAAGGCAACAGCCACTGGTAAAGGGCTGGCTCCTGCTCCCAGCACACGAACCAGTCCGTGACCAGTGTGGGTTTAGGATCCTGAAGCTTTTTTTCAGCATCACTGCGAGGACACTGCTCCCCCCCAAGCCTGGCTTGAGTAATCCCATTCACCACAAGACTCGTGAGGCTTAAAGGAGTTGTCAGCATCTTTGAATCTTTTTCCTTCTTGGGAGACTTGGCTGCACCCTGTAAAGTGAAAGCCCTGAGCGAAGGATGCTGGTGGGATCCCTGCCTCCGGAGCAGCACAGCCCTCAAAGGGGCTGTGAGCACGTTTTCCGCTGCTTTCATGTGGCTACTTACTCCTCTCCAAACATCTCTGAGGCCTCTGCTCAATGTCTGCTGTCTGGCATGCTGGGAAGCCAGTGGAAATACTTGTTTTCCATTCTGGAAGAGGGAAGCAGTGCCATGAGATGTGACTGCAAATGCTCCTGCCCTGCTGGCCAAGAGCTGCGGTGCCCAGCACTGCTCCCGAGCAGCTCAGACTCAGAGGCCTTGCTGGGGTCCCCCAAATGCTGCATCACCCCAGTTAAAGGCTATGAAAAGGAGAGAGGAAGGATTTTAAGTCTCTGTGAAAGCTTTTGTGAGCTCACATGGAATTTCCCCACCAGGTTCTAGTTAACTCCCAGAAGGAGCCTGATTCCCTTCAGTAAATCCCCTTCACAGGGTTCACATCTGCAGATGTGGCACCTGGGGCTGGCTTTGCTACTGGATCCTTTACTTATCTCACCCCTTCCAAGCACCAGTTCTGAGTTCACTTCAAACTTCCTCTGTTTCTACAGACAAGTGCTAACAGCTAATCTCTACCTCCTCCAGATCCAAGCCTCTGGAAAATCTGTATTTGCAGTATTTTTACTCCTCCTGAGCCTCTCCAGCAAGCCCCTCTGAAAATCCAGGATGCCTTTCTGTCATCAAGCAAAGAGCAGAGCACAAATATGGGACTCCCTTTGATCACTCCCATGGCCCATGGATCCCCTCCACCTTCCTTACTTATGGCTTCTCCCTCTATCAAGATTAACTGTTCCCAGGATCCCAGCATGAGGGCTATGGGGAGCAGGCAGCCTTGGGGACCAGCCTTCTGGGAGGCAGCAGGAACATCAACAGGCTGCTGGACCTTTCCTGTAACTGCTGTGGCCTTCCCTGCTCCAAACCTGAGCTGAGGGAGCTCTTGGCTACAAGGGTCTCCTTCCACAGACAGATGGAATCCCAGGAACAGCTTCCTCCCTGTCCTGCTTCCATAAATCAGCAGTTTGGGGTGGGTTTTTTTGTGGCTGGTGTCACCCTGCGTTCAGTCTCTTCAGGCAGCACATTCTCATCTTTGCCGCAGCCAATGCTGTTGGCCTTTAAAGGCTGGAGATGCCAAGGAATCAGTGCAAAATCAAGAGAATGCTGCCAAGATGGAAAGCAGCATCTGAGCTGTGTTCTGTCAACAGTACTGCCCACCCAGCCATGCCAGGGCTTGGCCCAGTGGTTGAGATTTGATGAGCTGACAGGAACAAGCCTTCATGCACTGAGGATTTACCTACAAGTCACATCTCACTTTCTGGTGCTCCAGTCAGTCCTCATCCACCTGGACACAGACCATCTGTCAAGCTCCCATGCAGTTCCACACCACAAAAGCAAAGTGCTGCACACGTGGTTGAAATAAAAAGTCAGAAACTGACAAAAATGTTTAATATTAGTTTTGAAGAGGAAGTGACCGTACTGGCTTAGATGAGAAAATAACGACTGGGTGTGTTTAGTGAGCTCTCCTGCCAACCTGTCAGCCCAGGGCTGTGGCTCTCCGTGAGGCCCCCAGGCCTCCCCGCTGCTGCTCTCTCAGCACGTGACAATGCAAACTCACTGGGACACAAAACACAATTGCCGTGGGAGCTGGCGCGTGGAGGCTGCGCGCGGGTCTGCGCTTGGCTGCCGCTCTCGGGCCGTGGCACATGTCAGCAGAACTGCAAGAGAAGGGAGTTTAAACCCCGATTAGAAACCTCGCTGCCGAGGGGAGCTGTGGGTCATGCTGCCTAGAAGAAGGTAAGGATCCAGGTGATGGGCTTGTTTCAGGAGCTGGCAAGGGCTCGGGGGTTCTCAGAAGCAGGGGCCAAAGGGAGCTCCCGTTTGAATCTCTCGGCTGTGGCTCTTTGGCACTTTGTAGTGGCACCATTTCTGCTCACCACTGACCAGGAGATTCCTGCTCACCCCTGAGCTCTGTGCACAGCATGGAACAGCAGTTTTGAAATCCTGAATGTCATCACCACCATCTCTCAGAGGGAGCGTGGAAAGCACTGTGAAGCCGATCATGGAAGAAGGGATGTGATGAGGGAGCAGGGAATGTGGAAGTGAGACTTGACCCCAGCTGGTCTGCAGAGGTGGGATGAGCCCAGGAGCTCTTGCCTCTGTGCTGGGAGGGAAGATCACTCGCTAGAGCCAGTGAGAGTTTGGCAAACACCTCTGAGCAGCAGCCAAGTGCCTGCAGCAGGGTGGATGCAGCCCCCCAACACCCCTCAGTGCCAGTAATAGCCTTGGTGCGCTACCTTCCAGCGATTCCCACACTCGTTGCACACGACGAAGGTGGTCATGGGCTCATCGGAGCTGCGGGTCTGCACCTGGGGAGGACAGGAGAGAGGTGAGAGGCCAGCATCACACAGGCCCCTGGAGGGCACAGGGAGCTCCCCCCCTCCCTCTGGCCTCCAGGGATTCCTGCTGGGGTCACAAATTCCATGAGAGACCAAGGCTTGGAAGGGCAAAAGGAGCTTTCCCGTAAAACAAGTCTGGTTGTTGTGTTATACACAGATACACCTGTACATCCATCATGACCCCTCTCCAGCCTGACACTACCTGAGTGATATGTTTTGGGGCAGCAGATTTCCCTCTCACTCTCTCTGCTGCCCATTCCTTGTGGGTGGATCCAGAGATGGATGTACCCACAGCCAATCCCTTCCCAAACTGTCCCCCAGGAAGGGACATGGCCAGCAGTGAGAGGACAAAACCCTCAGCCCCAAGCCTGTGCTCCACAGTCACACATAAAAAAAGCACTCAAGCCATTCCCATTTGCAGACCAGTCCTACATCCTGGCCTCACAGGAACACACTCTGGGTTACCAGGTTCTGCACATTTCCAGTCTGGTTTGTATTTGAGCCACTAAGGAACTCCGATATTTAACCCAGATGTGATTGCTGCCTCTGACTGGCTCTTGCCAGAAACACATACTTTACTAAAAATCAGATTTTCATGGCATTTGAAAACCACAAGGCAGATCTACACTGAAAACACTGGCATTCCTGCACAAGTCAAGCAGCAGAACTGTGCCAAGGGGTAATTATGGTGATCTTTGTGTGTACTTACCCAATATGCAAGAGTCACAGTATTTGCATGATGCAAATTAAGCATTCTTGCAAGCATGCTGAAAAGCTAAATTCTGTAATTCCCCCCCAACATTACCACCTGCCTTCCAACGTGCTCATAAACACCAGTTCATCTACTTGGGACTTACAGCATCTCATCACCCACTGGTGATTTCACTGGAAAACCGATAAAAATAGAGAAACCCTCCAGATATTTCTATTTAGAAGATAACTGTTGTCTCCTGCCCCAATCCCAAGCAGCTGGA